TAAAACTATATATATATATATATATATAGCTGTGACCTAAAATTTAAAAAGTTCTGCTCTCACCCATCTTCTCCACTAATCAGTAAAAGTTTACGAACCTTTTTCTAAGGGTTCACATTATTTTAATCTAATTTTTTGTCATTTTAACAAGTTTTAAAAGTATAGTTGTTTTTTCTTTAAAAATATAGTACCTAAAAATAATTTTGAACCAAAAAAATTTTATATTATAAATTTATATTAAATGTCATTTTATTTATATATTGCTCTTAAGTAACAATTGTTTTGTGAACAGGATTTACCTGATACTATTCAGGTGTGTGGAAGAATCATACCTGATCAAGTGTGGGATTATATAAGCAAAATAAAGCAGTCTGGAAACAAAGTAAGAAATTATTTGAAATACCTTTTCTTCCTTTTAATTTTTGGTTTTGCTGCTCAAAATTAGAAAGACTTAATCTTACTAGCTGCTGTTTTTCCCCATGTTTTATTGTTAAATCAAAGGACCTATTGTATATATTTATTGAAACAATTAAAGCAATTTTGAAATGTTAATCAAAAAAGGGAAACGCTGAATATATATATCATATTGATGAAAATGACATTCATTGTGCTAGGGACCTTCATGATTGAGAGGGAAAGGATTTCTTGCACACTAGAAACCTTGCTCAGTCAGCAAAATTATGATAAATTTTTAGGTATCATAAGTGATGTAGTATAAGTTTCTATTTTTTTAATGTAGTAAAAGTGTGTATTTTTAATGTAGTAAAAGTGTCTATTTTTTTTAAATGTTTAATTAATTGATTCATGATATTGCTGTGCTATACACGAGTGTCTTATTTTATCAATAAATCCAGTCTAGATAAATATGCTAATTTTGTTTCTGTTGTTGGACACAAACTGTTGTGTCCATTTCAGATTCGAAAATAATTCTTATCAGAATAATGCAGTTATAATGCTTATTTTTTTTAAAATTAATTGCTTACCAACTGTAGTCTGTCATTAAAATCGCAGTTCCTTTTGACTATTGATTCTTGTAGAATCAGCGGACAAAATTTATGAACTTACTCAATTTACTTACCCAATACAAAATTTATGAACATAAAGTAAAAAATTTTAACGTAGGAAAAGAGCATTTTTTTTCACTTAAAAAAATTTAAGTATTCTTGCTAATACAAAAAATAGTTTGGTAGTAGTTGTAGTTCATTTACGTCGCACTAAAGCTGCACAATGGGCTATTGGCGACAGTCTGAGAAACATCCCAGAGGATGATCTGAAGAGATGCCTTCACAATTTTGATCCTCAGCAGAGGGGATGGCACTCCCGCTTTGGTAGCCCGACAACCTGCACGCGAAGTCGAGTACTTTATGGTAGAACAGTGTTACGAGGACCAATACCGCACACCCTCAGTCCCTACGCAGACTGATCTAAATGGTCACCTACCCGCACACTGACCGCAGCCAGTGATGCTTGACTTCGGTGATCTGATGGGAACCGTACCGTGTCTTAACGATCAGTCCACTGTGGGACAAACAGTTTCGTAAGGGAGTGCTAAAGTACATCTTAGTTGCTTAATATTAGCTTAAAACATGCTTGGTATTGTATTTGTTCTATGTATCAATGCTAAATTTGAGCTTATTATAAGAAAAGTTAAGTTTTATGTGACAAGATGACTGAAAGTGATTTCTCTATATCAAGTTTAAAATCCCTTTTTACAAAAACAAATTAAAAATCTGGAGCTTTACTTTATATTTGTAATAGTTTTATTTATTCTAGCTCTATGATTTAATCCAGAATTNTGATTTCTCTATATCAAGTTTAAAATCCCTTTTTACAAAAACAAATTAAAAATCTGGAGCTTTACTTTATATTTGTTGTAGTTTTATTTATTCTAGCTCTATGATTTAATCCAGAATTTTGTTGACCATTTATCAGGGGAATCATAACCATTGGTTTTCATTCACACAGACTTAATATTTTGAGGAAATTTTTTGTTGCTTTAATATAAGTCAAATATTTTTTAATTTATAAATGCATCATTAAATCAATTTCATTGGATAATTCTTTTAACTGTAGTTGAAAAAATCATTTTTTGAAGGATATGTAAGGGAGACTGAAATTTCTGTACCATAATATTCAAAGTTTTTAGGATCATTATTAATTAAAGTAAATAAATAATCAATTTTTGCATCTTAGACGAAATGAGTTTATAGTAATGTTATAAAATGTTTTGATTTGCTTACTTTAATCCCAGAGCCATTACTGAAAATGCAAAAAGTGAAACATCAGTTCGCTAGTAGTTTAGCAAATGAATAAACTTTGGAAAAAAAATTTCCAAATGTGTTTGTTTATGTTTCATAGAATAATCAGTTTTAGGATGCAAAGTAGAATACAGGTCAAAATTCAACTTTTTACATGTAAGATTACCAGAAGTTAATGGGCTGACTGTTCTTGACTAAACTGATATATTTTTTTGTCTGATTTTGTAACTTAGATTTTAATTTGCTCTAATTAATTAGAACATTTAATGTGTACACTTTAAACCATAAAAACTACAATTTAGTTCAGGAAAATCCATTCCTAATTACTTAAATGTAAATAATGGCTGATTAGATTTTTTTCCTGCTATGTGCTTGATATTGAGATTAAGAGACTAATTTAACTTATCTGTGGCATAATAATTTAAATGCTCAAATTTTTTATGCTATTTAAAAGTTACAAAAAAATAATTTCAGGCGAGAAAAATTAATTTATACTTCGTGCTTTAAATTTGTTATAAGTCCAACAGAGTAATCATTATAAATTAACATTAGGGTTGTATAATTTCACCAGTCTCACTAACCTGCTATTCAAGCTAGTGTATAACTTAGGACCAAGTCATCCCTTGTTAAGTTATCATGGTTCCACTTTTTATGATATCTATCAAAAACATATGGTGCAAAAGCTTTGTTGTGCATGCTTTGGATCAGCAATTTGCTATATTAATTTATACAAGACTGGGTTAACAAACAATATATATATATATATCCACTAATCAGTAAAAGTTTA